GGAGGCTGGAGGGACAGTGCAGGAGAGGAAGGCCCTCTCTGAGGTGGATTGATTCAGTGACTGGGATAATTGGGATGGGAGTGTCAGAGATGGTGCGATTGGCACAGGACAGAGCGGAGTTTAAGGCTGTTGTACATAGGGTCGCTATGAGTCGCAAGCGACTCGACAGCACATAACAACAACAACAACATCTTATATAGCTTGATAGCATTGAAAAAAATGATTAATATAAAAATACCATTATTGGTTTTAGAATAGCATGTTAACAATCGGTCACTTAAAGATCACATTACTTTTTTTTTAACTATAAAAACTCACCTGGTACAAAAAATTCTGTTGGTGTAACCCAGTGAAATTCCAAATGAAATCCCAAGCAGACAGCCTTGAAGGTGACAAGGAAAATCAAATAGAGAACAGATACTGTGCCTGTGAGGATAATTCAGAAGTCATTTATCATTTTTATGTGTTTTAGACAATTTTTTAAAATCAAATTTAGTTTCTACATTCTCTTCAAAATATGGAAAATTTTTACCTTCTGATCCTATTGATAATCCCACTACAACTCAGTTAGGATCTGCAGATTAGCTTACTATCTAATAAACAAGCTCAGTGAATTATCAGAAAACAGAGCCCTTAAAATTACATAACAGAAGTAACTTGACAGTAGCTCACAAATTCTTAATTTAATGGAAGATATAAGCAATTATTAGACTACATGAAACTAACCTTTTTTTATTTGAAGTATTAGAATTAGATAATAGGCAGGGGGAAACAGTCACCAATATTAATGCAGGACAAAAAGAACACAAAGAAAAAAATAATGAATGTTGATAACACATTTGAAAATGCTGATAAATCACATAATCAAGAAACAATCTGCTTTTATTTCTATTTGAGGTTTCAATGGGTTTTTGTAGTGTGCTCTTGGGTAGAAACTGTCTCATAGCTTGACCCTCCAGCAGGTTTTCAAAGGCAGTAAACTGCATGGAAGGAGATCGACCATTTTTCTCCCACTGAGCAGCTGGTGGATTGAAACACAAGCCTTTGAGATTGCAGCACAGCTTTTTACCACTAGGCCATTAGAAGGTAATACTACCTATTAGATGGAAAGATTTCAGGTTCCAGTCCCCAATATCATAAACAGAGTAAAGCAGGCAATCAGAAAGTTTTAGTAGCCTAGAGGTTACAGGATTATTTCCTTCAAGGAGTTAAATCTATTCATTTGGTATAGTCAGAAAAACCAGAATTCTGCTAGATATTAATTGCCCTAAAGATTTACAAGTACCATGACAAAAATAAAATATCTTTAAGGAGTGGAGAATTATTAAACTAGTTAGAAGTCTAGTAATTGTTTCAATCAATTGAGCAAATCTTTCTATAAATGCATATGCTAGCTTTTTATGTTTTTAAAATGTTTTAAATAAATTTTTCTTTTATATTACAAATTTTATTGCTTACAAAGTTTGTATATACTGTTTTTCACGATGGATTTTTTTCCCATTTTCTTTACCTACTCCATCCTCTACCCTTCAAATTGTGCGATTTTTAATTACCCCTCCGCCCATCCTCATCCCTCTGTTCTCCCCTCCCCTCCTTGGACCTTCACACCCATTTTAATAGTTATCTATTTCTCCAATAATAGTCTTAAACAGTATTTGTCCTTATGGGACCGAGTTAGTTCACTTAGCATTGTATGCTAACTTTTAAAGGATCTGTTCAATAGGAAGCAAGCAAGCAAACCAGTAAACCACAAATGTGCCTCATAAACTCGCCTGTGGGTTTGGAGATTAAGTGATTCAGAAAGGATGAAAACAAGAAACTATATAGCTTAAATAATCACAGACAGCTTATATAATCACAACTCCTCACTTCCTATGTGTGTATGGCAATCCTACAGTGAATCCTGTTTTGAGGAAGAGAGAGATAGAATTGTATTCTTACCCTTTTCTTTGGTTTCCTGGACAAACAAAAGACACTTCCTGATTTATACTGAATTGGGACTTGAACTGACAGCAGTGGGTTTAGCTTGGTTTAGAACTCTGATGGCCTAGAGTTGTGCTGCCAATCCAAAGTCAAGCAGTTCAAATCGACCTGCTGCTCTATGGCAGGAGAATGGGCACTCTCCTCTTTTGTGATTTACAGTTTCTGAAAACTTGCTGGAGGACCAGCTATGAGTTGGTTCTGATGCAACAGCATATAACAATAACAACAAAACAGATAATATCTTTTTCCCTCTCCAAGCTGTCTACCAGGAAAGCATATCCATAGGGGAAAGTTGAGATTTCATGGTCTAATTGGGTTTATTAATTATTTCTGAATTATTTCCTTCAGTTAACTCACGTGAGCATTCATCAGAACTCCTGGGAGTTACTTCTGCCATTTTGAGATTCAGAGTCATAAGAAAAGAAAGGGTCAAAATGCTCTTTAGAGACTTCAGTAAAACAAGGTCACAGAAAGATCATTTTGTGTAATATTTTTAATTAAATAAAAACACTAGGGGAAAAATACTCCATATCCTTCTTTGAAAAGTTTTAATGTTTCTAACACTTAGAGTTGAGAATTTTCAAAGATACATAATTGGCATCTCTTCTGACAATTTAGGGAACTCAATCGGCACGGTCCATAGCAAGCTGAGTATTTAACCAAAGGTTGTACTTCTTCAACAGCTCAATTCTACCACTGGTTAGACAGCAGAAAAATGGTCAGTCTACCCCTCATAAATTTACAGCCTTGGAAACCTGCTGAAGGGTCAGCTGTGAGTCAGTTCCAACTAGATGACAAGGAGTTTGAGTTTTCTAAAAATTCCGTTTATATCCTCTGGTTTTATGCTTTCTGGGAACGAGGAAAATTTACTAGGATATAATGGGAAAATCAGTAAGAATTCATATCTTAAAAAAAGAAATCCCCAAACAATTTGAAATGGTCAATTACATTTTCCCCTGTGACAAATTCCATAAACAAAACAAAAAAGTTATTATGTGAATGAACACATTAAATCTGTGTGAAAGTAAGTCTCTCGCCAACCTGACCATGCTCCCTAAGAATCCAGCACATATTCTACTACAGAGGAGCTCTACACAGCGCTCTAACTTACCTAGGATATTAAATTTGGAAAAAAATGAGGGTGATTTGAAATTGAGCAGAGGCAGAAGGAGAGCTATGAGGTAAAACGGCACTGTCCTGGACTTATTCCACCACTTTTCAAACTGTTGGACTCCTGTGTCATTGGTGTAGAAAATAATCGCAGAGCTATTGTCAGGATGGCCATCCCCTTTGGCACTTGGACAGATCACTACAACAAGAAAGTCCTAGATTAGAGAAGACCATGGCACAGAAAAAAACTACCCTCTGAGAGCGATGCTCGCTTTGCCATTTCAACCTTTACTGCAAGCTAAGAACGTTTTACATAAATATATCAGGAACATTTTTACATATAAATAAATAATTAATTGAAAAGGGAAGAATCTAGAACAACAAAGATTCAAGCATACTATAAACTATCTTAGGAATTTCTTAACAAATAGCTACTGGCTCCATGCTGGGGAAAAAAAAGAACTTGATGGTATTTGACCTTATTTATGAAAGGCCTTTTTTAAAACAATCTCTCGTGATAAGTGTATGCCATGCTAAGTGTTGATATAAAGGCCAAAGAGATATGTTTACAGATATTCTTAGTTTTCATAGATTTCTAAATAAATTATTGTGGATTTGGAATAAAAAGTAGGTATCACTGAGCTAGCTACAATGATATTTCCAAAACTTAAGTACTGGATTAAAGCTTAAGAACCTTGAAGTCTAGTAAGCCATAGTAATTATTCTGATAGTTTGTGACACATGATAACAACCTACAGGTCCAGGAGATAACAGGAAAACAATAAAGTGAGGAAAATATATTTTCTTAACACTGATATGTAGGTGAGAAGTTCTCTTATCAGACAGGACACAGACCATTCTCTCTGTTTCTGGTTTCACGACGGAACTTTGTAAATCACCAGCTTGTGAAACTCTAAACTACTTACCATAGTTGCTATCATTGGTACTCAGCACAGAGTCAGTATCATTAATGTGATGAATAAAATCTAAAAATTAAGAAAACAAAATTTAAAATTGAATGAAGACACTAAATATAGCACCTTCTAAAGTCTTTTCTCAAAATTTTAAAAAAATATACTGTGAGTAATGCTGCAAAGTACAGTGAACCAAGACACTTGACACTTCAATGTTAATACAGCTTCATCTCTAACAGTAGGAATTAAAATGTTTATGTTTCAGAGCCCTGTTATGAAAAATGTTCACATGTCTGAATAGATTCTAAAAAGCTTCTCACAACGCTAAATTAAGGCTGGTTAAATATCCTGCCCCTTGGTGATACAGTGGTTAAAAGTTGGTTTAACCAAAAGGTTGGTAACCTGAACTCAGGCTGCAGAATAAAGATGTGACAGTCTGCTCCCTTAAGGTTGCAGGCCTTAGAAACCCTACAGGGCATTTCTACTTATCCTAAAGGCTCACGAGGAATCAGTACTGACTTGAAAGTAATGAGTTTGGGTTTTTTTTCCTTTCTTTCTCTTGTTGTGAGTTTAACGAAAGTTTACAGGAATGCTGAATTTTTCATTCATTCATTGTTGCACAATTTCTTCCCTCCCTCTCCCTTTCCTCTCTTCTAGTCCTCTTTACACTGTACCTTGCATTTGTAAAAACAAGTTGTTTGTTATATTTACATTAATGGAGATAAGCATGGTTACATTTAACATTAAGTTCTAAAGTCTGAAAAAGGATCAATACTAACAAATACATAAAAAATTGCTTAAATTGTGTTTTTCCCCCCACAAAGTGCAGTACATGATGTTATAAACCCAAGTCTGTACATTAATTTTTATGATTGTGTAGCAATAGGACGAAAGGCGGGGAGCACACATAGAGTCCTGGTCATGACAGCATTCTAAGGTGAATGGGTTTTCTCTAAGCCTGAAAGGATCAGCCTGAAAAGATTTACTTTGTTTGATGTTAAGTTTGTATAACCACCTAATTAAGCACTGATAAAACAGTTTGTGGTAAGGTTTAAAAAGAAATGGTAACAGATACTGAATTAGGTTCTGAAGTTATATATGCAAATTAATAATTTTCACGGAATCTTTTTCAAGATAAAGTAACAAAGTCAATTTAGTGTTTTAGGTTTTTACAGAGTTAATAGTGATTAAGATTAGAAGTTATTTAAGGTTAGAAATTTTATGTAATTCCTTGATGTCCAATATTACAACTCCAATAATACCTTGGTAACAAATGTCCTAGTTTGAATAGTCACTCTTGAAAATAGGATCAGAAGTTCAGAATGAGAACTTATTTGGAAATAGGATCTTTTCCGCTATAATCAACTTGGATTAAAGGATTAAAGGGGGCCCTAAATGTAATGGTTGATGTCCTACAAAAAGATGGAAATTCAGACCCAGACAGTCAGTTGTGAAGATGGTCACATGAAGACAAAAATCACACCAATGCAGTTACAAGCCAAGTAACGTCAAAGATTGCTGGAAACCAGCAGACTCTAGGAAGACGCAAGTTAGAATTGTTCCCTGGAGCTTTCAGAGAAAGCGAGGCCCTGCTGATGTCTAATGCCAATTTTCTGGACTCCAGAAGGCTGAGAGACCAATTTCTATTGTTTAAAACCAACAAAATTTATTATGGCAACCCTCCTATTCGACTCAACGGCACCTAACAACAATTAGGCAACTTTTGGGAAATGCCAAGGTTCAATAAAGATGGGGGGGGATGCCAATCCTCTTGCCAGTATCTCTCATCAACAGATACAAAAAAGTCTAAATAAAATGTAAACCCATCACCTCTCAAAGCAATCTCAATCTAGTAAGGAGTTTTTAAAACCATAAAGCACAATGAATGCAAATTATATCCCAGAACAAAAGAACGTTAAATGTTAGAAACTGCCTTCATTTAATTTACCACATTAACAATTTAAAGGAGAAAAGCTCTTATGGCCATTTCAAGAGATGCAATTTAAGTATTTAATAAAATTCAGCAGACAGTGCTGAAAGTGCTGAAAAAAGACAGATGAGAATTTCTTTACAAACTTAATAACTTACAAACAATATACAACAACAAATATAATATTAAGTGGTGAAACATTACAACTATTTCCTCAGGACAATATATCGATGTCTATCAGCACTGTTTTTATATAACTTTACATGTAGAAAATATGATATATATGTTTATACACACACATACAGTGAGCTCTGGTGATGTTGTCTGTTTAGAGTTGCAATCCTAACACCAAAATCATACTACTCTGGTGGTTTAATCCACCAGCAGCTCTGGGGCAGAAACAAGCTCCTCTAGTGCAATGTACAGTTATGAGTCGGTTCCAACTTGATGGCAACAAGTGTGTGAGTGACACAAATATACATATGTAAATATCTATCTATGTGTATATATCAATATATAAAAACTTGTCTTGTGGTGCTGGAGAAGAGTATTGAATGTACCCTGGACTGCCAAGAAAACAAAGATTCATCCTGGAGATGGTTAAACCAGGCTACTCCTTGGAGGCAATGATTCTGGGGCTTCGTCTGACATACTTTGGACATGTTGTAAGGAAGGACAGGTCCTTGGAGAGGGACATCATGCTGGTTAGAGTAGAGGGACAGCGCAGGAGGGGAAGACCCTCTATGAGGTGGATTGATTCAGTGACTGGGGTAATCGGGATGGGTGTGTCAGAGGCCATGCGATTGGCACAGGATAGAGCAGGGTTTAGGGCTATTGTACATAGGGTCGCTATGAGTCGCAAACGACTCGACGGCACATAACAACAACAACAACAACAACAACAACAATTGTATAAATATGTATAATTGTGTGTACACATGTATCTTTAAGAGAGTTAGACAAGAAATTTTCATAATTCATAGATGTAAATAAACAAAAAAGTTACCAAGAATCACAAAATTATTAGAATCAGTAAGTCTTTTTAGTTTAATAACAGCTTGGTAAATTTGTTAGTTTTAAAATAACCTTTTTAAAAAATTAAATAGCAATGAAGGAAAATGTGAAACAATGTATACAAATATTATAAAATAGAATTAAACAGATTCCTTTACAAAGCAACAAAAAATCTGAGCATGTGAAAAATAATATATTTACATTCTGAGAAGACAGAAACGTTGCATTTCATTAGAGGTAGTTGGGTTACATGGATGTATCCATCTGTTAAAATTAGGGTTAATTAAAATCAATAGACCTAACATAATCTCTACCAAAATTCCAACAGACCTTTTTTGCAGAAGTAGAAACTTCAATCCTCAAATTTACAAGGAATTGTATGGGATCCCAAACCCAAATAGTCAAAGTAAAGATGGAAGACTCACACTTCCCAATTTAAAAACATACAAAAGGTACAGTAATTCTGAAAGTTTGATAATGGTAAAATAAGCTCTCATATAGGTGAAAAGAACTGAGAGTTTAGAAACAAATCCATTAACCTACGTTCTTATTATCTTCCGTAAGGCTCCTAACACTACAAAACGGAGAGGGAAACATCTTCAATAAATGATGCTGGTGATATGATAGTGTGAACAGAAAACCCCAAGACTCACAAAAGACCTGTACAGACAAAATTAGAGAACATTTCTGTGAGACACAATAAAAGATCTAACTAAATGGAAAAATGTTCCCTGTTCATTATTGTTGTTGTTATTATGTGCCGTCGAGTCACTTGCAACTCATAGCGACCCTATGTACAACAGCCCTAAACCCTGCTCTATCCTGTGCCAATCGCATGGCCTCTGACACACCCATCCCAATTACCCCAGTCACTGAATCAATCCACCTCATAGAGGGTCTTCCCCTCCTGTGCTGTCCCTCTACTCTAACCAGCATGATGTCCCTCTCCAAGGACCTGTCCCTCCTTACAACATGTCCAAAGTAAGCCAGACGAAGCCTCAGAATCCTTGCCTCCAAGGAGCAGCCTGGTTTTACCCTCTCCAGGATGAATATGTTTGTTTTCTTGGCAGTCCATGGTTCATTATTAGGAAGACTCAATAGTGTGAAAAATGACAATCTTACCAAAAGCATAGGTTCAATGCAATCCCAGTACAGATAAAAAAATTCACTTTTCAAGGATTTGAAAGGGAAACTATCAAATTTATCTGGAGAGGAAAGAAACCTCAAATAAGCAAGGCACTTCTGAAAAACAAAAATGGGAGGCATAGCACTCTGACCCCAAAACCTAATACACAGCAGTAGTAACCAAAACAGCATGGTATTGATATAAAGACAGGCACACAGACCTCTAGAACAGAATTAACAACACAGAAATGGACCCACCTATCTACGGTCAACTGATATTCCACAAGGAAATAAAACCTATCAAATGGGGAAATGACTATCTCTTCAGCAAAAGGTGCTGGGAAAACTGGACTTCAACCTGCAGAAAGCTGAAGCAGGATTCACTTCTCACACCATACACAAAAAATCAACTCAAGATGGATCACAGACCTGGGAGTAAAGCCACAAACCATAAAGTTCATAAAGACAAATTGGGACCAAGCTTAGAAGGCCTAGTATATGTTATAAAGAGACTGACAAACACAGCCAAAAATGTACAATCTGGAGAGGATAAAATTGGTGAATGAAACTTTCTAAAGATTAAGCATCTGTGCTCACCAAAAACTTTACAAAGAGGGTAAAAAGAAAACTGACTGGGAACAAATATTTGGCAATACTATCTCAGACAAGGGTCTCATAACAAAAGTTTACAGAATACTCCTGGGCCTCCAGAAGAAAAGGGCTAATAACCCAAACAAACAGGCAAAAGACATGGAAAGACTTTTCACAGAGGAAGACATTCAGAAGACCTATAGACACATGAAAAAAATGCTCAAAATCACTGGCAAATCAAAACCATAACAAGATACCATCTCATCCCAGTAGCAGTGGCAAAGTTTAGTAGGGCAGCAAGAAATAAATGTTGGGAGAGAATGTGGAGAGGTGGGTACTGTCATTCACTGTTGGTGGGATTGTAAAATGGTGTGATGACTCTGGAAGACAGTTTGACATTTCCTAAAAAAAG